ACGCAGCGAACGAACTTCAACCAGGACGTGTGAGCGCAGCGAACGAGCTCCAACCTAAAGGTGAGTGAGCGTAGTGAACGAACTTCAACCAGGACGTGATTGGGCCATGCGAACGAGCTCAAGTATGAAGTTAAACGGGGCAAAGCCCGCGGGTACAGCTAGTGTATATATATATAGACTTATATATACGTCCGTGAACGCGATAACTTGAGTAATTTTAGTCCGATTTTGATGAAATTTGGTTTAAAGGTGTAAAGCGGGATAAACTTGAATGAGTTCGCGAACCAGCACGATCGGACCATGGGAACGGGGCTTTACGGGGGGTTTTATGGGGTAAAAATTGGTTTTTCTCACTTTTGACCCTCAAAACACAAAATTTTCCGATTTCTCTTTAGACCTTTTTAAAGAACTTAAAAAAACAAATAATTTAGTATATAAAAGTATTTTTGTTCGATTGTAAGTAACGGAGAAAATTAAAAAATTGTAAATTTAAAATTCCCATGTTATTCTTATGGAGAATATTGTCAAATGTTGTAGTTTGCTTGTTTATGGATATATTATGATCAAACTTGGCAAATTTATTTATTTTGTACTAAGCTATCAATATTTTACTCAAAAACACACTTTATTAGTTTCCTTGTAGCAGCAAACCTAGGTACTTGTTAAACCTAATGTTATTAAAATATATTTAACTGAAAATTAATTCAGACAAATGGAAATTCGCTTAGACGGCAGGTTTGCTGCGGTGGGGGTATTTATTTCTGTATTGTGGTAGAAAACAAATCAGTTTTTTTGTACTGTAATATTGAAATATATCTTACATTTTGAGAAAATCTTCAATGATTTTTTAAAGTTTTAGGATATTTCTGGATATATAGTTATAGGGATATTTAAGCAACATTTTTACTCTTTCATATTTATAAACTATAACTCACTCAAATAGTTGGTCATCCTTAGTTAGTTATATCCTACACACTCAGTTAGTTATAATATTTTCATATGCGTGTAAAAATAAGAGTAAAAATAAAAATAACATAGCCTAATTTATGAGGTGTTTAATCAATTGAAATTCTAAATATATAAATGGTGTCATATTCAGGAATAAAACAATTTGAAACTACCTTCTCTAGTTAAAACTCTCCCTGTGTCCTATCAGTTTACTACGAAATAAAAAATGAAATACACTGTCAACATAAATAAATATTTCTTAAGATATAAATTGGTAGAAAAAGGACGAATTATATTGCTCGATGTGTCAAAGCCGGTGTAATATCAGATCTCCGGAGAAACATAGACACAAAGCATGACGTTGTACAACAGAGAATGCTCCAGTGATCTCCGAGCCATCCTTCATGTAATATTGACATTACTCATTCTCTCTCTCTCTATCTGAAAACAACATCTTTGGATAACAAATTTACAATTGGTACAGTCAAATAGTTTAATGGAAGTATATGTGAATGTACCCTACATTTATATGGGTTTTCGAAATGTTCCAACAATTGGTTTTGTAATGCGAATGGAAATGTACCGAAAGTTATTAATTATTTATTTAGTTAAATTATGTTGATTTACTTATTAAAAGTCAAAATGGATCATCAAAAGTTAGATGGTGATTATGAAGTAAGGTACAACCTGAGCTTTTTCAGTTCTTATAAATACTCATGTATATACACATCACCTATAACACTATGTCTTATTGCTTTAACTAATGACTTTATCAATATAAATCAAAATTTCAACTCCGGAAAAAAGGACGGTGATAAAATAAGGAACTTGACAAAAAATAAGAATACTAACAGAAGAATAATGACATCTGAAATAGTCTTTGGAAATTCCGATGCTGAAAGATGTTGATTCACGTCGCTCAGCCGCGGGCTTCTTGATAGAATAACAAAGGGCTTTTAATTTAAAAGCAATTTTTCCGTTTCAGTTGAAGTAAAGTTTATTTTAGACACAAATAAATGTTTTTGGGTAAGTAATGAATGGGTGGTAAAAATAGTTTGTTGGGGTTCATATGGTTATTGTTTAAAGCTACATAAATAACTCTTAAAATTTTTTTTTCAAATCTCCTACTTAATTACATTTTAATTGCGTACTAAATAAATCTATATAGTACTTGTAATGTACCAACTATCAATCAAATCAATCATCAATTATCCACTATTTATTTGGGGACGCACCATGTGCGTATTTTAACACATGAGTCTAAATGTACCTCCTTTATGGCCCCATCGATTATGCCGATGATGCCCCCTTTCATATCCTGGGACGCTAGGCTCTGACTCGAGATCTTCAATAACATTATTTTCCTCTAGGTCTAGATAAACTCCATTGGTGATTGGTAGGATTAGAGCCTGGGACCTTGGGGACCGAAGTCCTGCAATCCAACAGCAGGACATACTCCCATAAACGTACCTTAAATAACATTAGAACATTAAACATTAAATAACATTAATGGGATAATTTCCTACATTTTTAACGTGCAAACTGAACGCGTGATATATGCGTGCATTAATTTTTCATACACTGTATCGTTTTGTATATATTTATCTTGTAAACTAGTTTTTTCTTATTTATCCTTTTCTTGTATACAAATTCTGTGTACAATATATATATATAAATTTCCTTTTTGAATGTAGCCTAAATTATCGTTTTTTGTGCGGATGATTAACTCAATCCCCAACCACAGGCATATAGCCCATTTGGGGATTCATATTTCATAAATCGTTTATGTACCATTCAATCTGATGTTCTGTATTGAAATAATAAAGAATTCATTCAATTATAGCTTAAAAAACCCAAGTCTGATACTTCTTGAAAATATTTTTGGGTATTATGTCTGTGCAATATCTAATATGAATATCCTAATTTATTGTTTGACGGTTTAAACTTACCAAATATCCACCATTGTTTTAAATAAATTTTTCATCCTGACCATTTTTCACTGTCCATGATATTTGGATTAAATGATTACCTATTTAATTTAAAATGAATAAAAAAAAAACACAGAAAATGCCGAAAGTAATGAGGAATCACCAATATTTTACATTGGCCACGCTTTGTCTACAGTACATGGTACGAAAATTCCCCCTTTGGCAACCATGCCAAATAAATATTTTTTTTGATATCGTACAATTTATATTTGTTGTGTCTCTGAAGAGTATCCTAATAATGTATTCTCTGTGTTACAGTGGAAGTCCCGTTGGTGTGTGTTGAGAAAGCTCTCTCCAGTTGCAGGTAATAATATATTTACTTATCTGTGTAAACATTTTGATTTCAATTTATTTTTATTTTCTAGGCCTACGATAGCTTGGCTGTAGTGTAGTAGTTATAGCAGAGATTTCCTCACCCAGCAACATCTTAACTTAATGCAAACAGTTCTAAATTAAAAGTAACCTAAAAACTGTATCGTCTGATCAACAGATGAAGCAGTCGATCAACCCTCTGCTCTATAAGGTAGATAGACTGAACGATGCGAGAGGCCAAGTTTTAATAAAGACTTCCAGATATTGGTAACCTCCTTACTTCCCCAAACCACTCTGGATGCTCGAGTAAACCGTCTGTTTCTCGGAGTTATTCCATGTTGGAATCATTCCAGAAGCTTCCCTCTTGGCTCTTCTTATCACATTTTCTCTTCAGTCCACTTGGAAGCACAATCATCCCATAACTTCTTTTTCATTTAATAAAAACTGCTTTTGAAATGTTGACGAGTTTTAAACTAACTCTTTTATCTTTCTAAGTAAAGCTATACATTATCAGTAGACCTTATTTTTATCGCCAGTTGCTAAATAAATTAATATGTTACATTATGTATCTTAGTTATTTTTCACTTAAAAAAAGTAATATTATGAACTTATTGTAGTTTGTTTGAACTTGCTATCAACTTTTACACTACCGGTATTCAATATCAAATTTAAGCCTTTTATATAGGTATCAGTCAGCTTAGCTATGTAAATTTAGGACGTTAAGATAGGACTAGTTCGAATACTGGGTTTGAGGTAAGTTTCTATGAGCTATTTATCTAGCCATTTATGTTATAATAACACCTCATACCAATAAATTTACTGCTATAAAACAGGACATGTTTTATGATTAAATCCTTCTTACCCTTTTGAATATATAGTATTAAGGTTTTGTTCAAAAGAAAGAAAAAGAAAACAATTTGATATATTTTATAAAATAGATACAGATATAATTTAAACATTAAAATAGAGGTTAATCGAAACAAAGAAAATATACGCACATTTTTAAATAAAATTTCCTACCCATATCTAATCCATGTCATTCGTGATTTAGATTTACATGAAATGCAATCTTACAGTTTGAGAAAAAAAAAATAGTCAACCATTGTCAACAGTGTTCGTAACCAAATTGTAACGTATTTTAGAGTCGTAAAAATAATAGAAGACGGGTTGAAGATAAGTAAAAAAGGTTAAATAATCATTAATGCGATTGAGATTTATCTGAAAAAACAAAACATAAACCCTAACCATTCTAGATGCACCAGGTCATGATCCAATTGTGAAATGATGCAGCATGGACGAGCAAACACCTCACGATGCATGTTTACTTTTACATTCTTTTTTAAATATCAAAACACACGAATGGCTCTTTTTGCACTATTGCTGTGAACATTTAACTGGACACCTCACTGCAGATGTACAATAAGAAAGGTTTGAAAGAAACTCCATTGGGGCTCTGCCCTAGAGTTTGGCCTTTTTAAAATTATCTTATAAAATACTGTATATATTATTTAAATTAAAAAAATGTATCCTTTAAAATTAAAATACCTGGAAAATTAGTCAGTAAGTTGAATGTTTATTTTTATAAATTTATTTCCAAAGACATAACAAATATATACAAATTGTACAATGTTAAAAATATATTTATAGTTCATGGTTTCTAAAGTGGAAAATTTCGTGTCCGTGCTTCTCTTCTTAGTGGTGATGTCCTCCGAAGTGATGTTCCTCGTGGTCATGATGCTTGTGGACATAAACCGGGATGTGAACCGGAACCTTGACTGGATACGGCACCTCCTTCTCCACCGGGTAGGGAACGTTCTTTTCTACATAGACGGGGTATGGCTTCTCCACAGGGTAGGGGACTGGCTTCTCAACTGGCACCTTGACGGGATAAGGAACTTTCTTCTCAACGGGGTAAGGCACGTGTTTGACAACAGGAACGTGATAGGGGACAAGCCGGGGGACATGCACCTTGACCGGGTAAGGGATGTGTTTCTCTACAGGGTATGGCACCTTCTTCTCTACGTAGACGGGGTAAGGCTTGGGTATATGCACGGGCACCGGTCTCACTACAGTTACCTTCACGGGGTAAGGAATCTTTTCCTCGACAGGGTAAAGTTTAGGGATGTACTCCTTGACCGGGTAAGGCACTTTCTTCTCCACAGTCACAGGGTAAGGTTTCTCCACAGGGTATGGGACCGGCCTCTCGACGTGCACCTTGACAGGGTACGGTACCTTCTTCTCCACGTGGACTGGGTACGGCACCTTCACCTCCTTCTCTATCGTAATGGTCTTCACCTCGTGATGGTGATGGTTGCTGAAGTCATGATCTCCAAATTTGTGATCTCCAAAATCGTGTCCACCGAATTCTCCACCACTGAAGTCATGTCCACTGAAGTCTTCTATTCCTCTCTTGTCATGTTTCTTCTCTTCTTTCTTCTCTTCGACCTTCTTCTCCTCGGCGAAGACAGCAGTCACCAACAACAAGACTAGAAGACACTTCATCTCCACTGATGTCTACAGACGAGTGTGTCTGGTACCTAGAGTCTGGTGGGTTTACATCTTCAGTCACATAACTCTGTATGTTGGTCAGTGTAATGCAGACGCTTCCTAATTCCTCACCATAACAGTCTTCAGATACGGTTCGTTACCTCGCATACGTATGATGCATATCTTAAACTTCTTCTCATAACTGATATAGGTTGATACGAGAGTGTTTACGCTCACTATCATATTATACTAAGAGCTATGTCTTTACGTGGATTTGTGGGGTTTTTAAAAACTTATATTGGTATTCAGCACAAGGTTTTAGCCTATTTTGGAACTAAGCATGTTTAGGTACAAAGACGTGATTGGCGAAAGCCAATACCTTAAGAAAAGTTACTATTTCGTTACCTAAGAGTGTGAAAAAATTTGAAAAAATAACCTTAGATTCGTAAGCAAGTTCTAGGATTACACAGTGGATTTTTGGTATAACTGGCCATGAAACTTTTTAAAACTTATTTTGGCTGCACCTGTTATTTTTTTAAAAACCTAAACCTTACATCCAACGTGTATTTTAAAAGTAAAACTAATTGAATATACTTAAACTAAATTTCCATACTCATTTTAACCATTTCCAAACATTGTTAAGAAGTGGATAATCCAATCATGTGTTTGGTGTTAGTTTAAACTTTTAGATTTACTTATATTGTTAATGTAATGAATTAGATCATTCATTAAACTAGAAACGTCATTGTGGTAATTAAAGTTTACTAGGTTCTAACAAGTAAAGTCATGTCCCATCGAGTTATTAAGGTTTATCTTTAATAATTGTATTTTACAACTGCTTGGTCTTTGTGCAATTACAAGTTAAAATGAACTGAAGTTCGAACTGCAATAATTGAAGGAACTTGTGCCGCTATCGTAAGATCAAGTTTTAATTGCATATCGTAATGATGCCCAAGAGATCGAGTATTTACTAAAGTAATCTTGAACTAATCTCTTACTTTTAATATTAAACATGTCTATTATTGTAAAAATATATTCTAAGGGGTTTTGATATCACCATTTCAAATACTCTAAATACGAATTTATTTTTAAACACAAATCTTCCGTAGGCAAATAAAATGCTGGACTCCGCCAATAGTTATTACACCAGTAAGATTATTATAAAAAACTAATACAATTATATAGCACATTTTTTCACCTTTTATAGAATATTTCTCAAAAGTTTTCTATTTATTCTTTTCTTAACAACTTATAACTAAATGAGAGGTATTTTGGATATCTATGAAAGAAATTACGCTATCGTATTTAAACGAAGATATATATATTCAGGAGATATATGTAGGTCAGGAGATAAATTATGATACCTTAAAAATTATACTCTTAAAAAATAGTAGTTGATTGGAAGTGAGTAAATGAATGCAGGGGTTAAATAAAATATTTCTATGACCATGTCACCAGTAGTAGTTTTTAGTTAGGTTTAGCATTTGTGATGAAAGAAAAGAATCAAGAATGAAGAAAGAATCAAGAATTTATTCACCATTAAATACAATATACAATAGGTGTCGTCAATGTATTAACACAAATCAATGGATAATATCTTGAGTATCACAGCTCAGGTACTCTCAATTGGTATAAAATGCCTTAACTTTAATTCACTTGCTAATAACATTGTTAATTTTTTTAGGTGGTAACAAGTTAACGTTAGGTGGCAGTTTATAATACATTAACATTTGATGGTAACTATGGTTCTTTAATACTTATCAGGTCTAAAAATGTCATATTTTTGTCTGGTGTTATGATAATTTACAGAAGAGGTTTTTTGAAAAAAAAAACTAAATAAATAAAAACTAAATAAATAAAAACATATAAAAGAAATAAAATATTCATATAAACTTATTTGTGAAAACTAAATATATAAATTTAATTTGTATCTGCAAATAACTTTTAACCCAACAAAAAGTTAATAATCGAGTCGCAAAAGATGGTTAAGCTAAACCCAACAATGTATTTAATGTGATTATATAAAATTTTAATTCAAATATAGAGAGAAAGTGTTCATTTTAATTTTTAACAATTGTCTACATTTCAACAAATAACCCAAGAATTATTAATTTTATCTTAAAAGCCAATAAAAGAGGAAACACTGTTTCTACACAAACATGAAAGCCTCGCTTGAATTTTCCAAACCAAACAAGGCAAAAGTTCTATTGTTCAAACTTCCTTTGTATGTGACAATTATTTGTCTTCATGCAAGATAAATATATGTTATATTAAGTACTAATTTCTGCAGTTTACTTTCAAACAGTTTTAAGTTAGTTGTGTTTTGTGAATAATACTAACCAAAGGTTAACATTAATTGTGATACATTAAATTAGAATTATTACTTTTTTTTGCCATACAAATATGTCCTACAATAGTTCTTTTGTGCTCCTTTTGAAATTTAATATGATTTTGTTATATTATATTTTTGTCTCTCTTGTATTCAAATATTTTTAACAATATGCAACGAGGAAAGTTTGGTAATAGCTGTATATTTAAAAACGAAAGTAGAAATATCTATTTGCTTCGGAACGAACCATACATAAAATATATGGTTTGCTATGGCTCTTGTAGAATATATATCTATGTAGGTAGCCTATTGAATTTGTATTTGAGGAATATCTAAAGTTATATAACTAACTTGTTGATCAAATTTATTCAAACTATTAAAACACTGAAAAGTTTAGGTTACCAATACGTACACAGGGTGAACAATTTAACTATGTCGCCATTGGTATCTCGGAAACTATTAGATTTAGAGACGAGACAACACTAATGGAAACACCTTTGTTTTATTACATTTAAAATATAAATAGGTACTGTAGGAGTGTTCGATTATTTAATAATACGATTTTTAATATACAGCAATAAAATAAAAAAATATAATAACCTTCAATAAGTGCTCACACATTTTTGATATACTATTAAAAAGTTCACTAAATACATTGGCAGTTATATTAAATTAAACTTAACATCATTACATGCAAATTTCCTCGACAATTTTAATGCGATCACTGCTTTAAATTAGTCATTTCTGAATGAACCTGTGTAAAGATTATTATTGATTTAAATATAAAATATTATTATTTAGAAAATATTTTAAAGTTTATTTTTTTGGAGTATAAAAAAGTGTAATAACAGTGTGAGGGGGGAGCGTTGTGGTTTTAACATCGACAGCCTTTAAGCTGTAATTAAATACTGTTGATTGAAGCCAAGAGGTCGCTGAAAAGATTGTTTCTTCTGTTTTCTTGAAATAAATAAGCTTTTCGTAACACTCCAGAAAAAACCAGTCGTTTTTAATACATGCATTGCGGGTAGTAGCTCTATCTAGGGAGTAAAATTCATCTGTTATAAACTCAGATGCAAATTTCGATTGTAAGCCATGGCATACATCGAAACTATGTATCGATTGATTTAGTCAGTTTTCGCGTCGCTTATTGTTGCATTCTTGTCAACAGTTTGACATATCGATACTGTAGTATAATGTACACGAAAACAATACTTATAGACAAAATGAATGAACTACTTACTAAACAACTGCTTGTTTGTGTTTTAGCGAAATTATTGAGAACAGGCTTGAAGTCGTTTTGAGTGGTTATTTGGAAATTTACTTTTGCAAAAGATAATATGTAAAAGTGAATTAAAAGAAACGTAGGCCTAGAGTGCAATATCTATTTTCTCTAACAAAGCGTAAATTATATCTTTTCTGTAATACATTTAACAAATCATTAGATAGTTTATTTTTTGTGTTTACGCTCTATAATGTATTCACACAGCAATAAAATAATAATCACCCTTGTAGTTTTTTTGTCAAACCAGCTAATTTTTAAACTATGTTTGTATGAAGTTATACGTAAAATATATAATTTTGTCCTATAATTGTTTCGTGAAGATAAATTTTCTAAATAAAAATTTTGATCTTACTAAGAACTTGACTTTGACTGTTTTTCTCCGAGTCCCCTCAAACAGGGTTGAGGTTTTGAATCTCTTCAAGGAATCATCATCCTCATTCCTATAAAACCTAGCTTATATTCACATTATATTCTGCTTCCACAACAAATTATACATAATACACAAATTTTATCGTTTTAATTTATTGATATTTCGATTTTCCTTTATGAATCCCACCCATGTCTTTCAAATAACAAGCGTTGTAGTAAAATATTTCTTACTTTGACGTAGTTATAATGTATGAATTTGATAATATACATTATACTTTATAGGTAATCTAAGCAACACGCGAGAGTATCTTCTAATCATTTTACTAGTCCAACGATCTATCATCTGTGACTTTCAGAGGCGAGACTCTGCGACAAATGTTGCAATTATTATAAAACATCTTTATTTTTTTATATTCGTTAAACCTAGTCAGTTGCATATTTATTTAGGCCTGAAACATAAATTTTTGTATTCGTAAACCTAATGTAAGATCCTAATGATTCCGTATAAATATTAATTCAGAATATTTAGACATTTACGTTTCAAATATTTTTTTTCTCACAAAAAAATACTGAAAACCTAATGATGACTCTAAATAGGAGCCAAAACTAGTTCCAACTGCAATTAAATTGGTCGCTTACTAGCGAGTATTTAAGCCTTTAATTGTTTAATTCCATGTAAACGTTTTAAAAAAAGAATCTAAGATTTAACAAGCATGAATTGTTCCTTTAATTAGTAGCAACATTAAAGTATGCAGACAAATTACTGCGAATTTATAAGTTTGTCTGAGTTTAAACAAGAAACTTATTGAAATCCCAGACTGATTGTTCTTTTGTAAACTTCCAAACAACTTCATCTGAAAATTGTCAATGACAATTACCTCTGTAGCTACAGATTACTAGAATCATAAAGTATAATCCGATTCTTTTTACTATACCCGCCTTTTAAAACTTGTCGTTGGAAATATAGTAATAAAATAAATAAATTACCTTTCAGTAGCTGTGAATATATTACAATGGAAAACAACTTAGAGTATG